CTAACACAAATGAACAAAAACTGTTCATTCTGTTAGGACGGAATTCGGTAGCTTCGCCTGCGTCCTTTCTATATGACAGGACGCTGGGGAATAGTGAAAGGAAGCATCGCAAGATCAGGTGAGAATTGTGGGGAAATTCCTTTGACCGCGAGAAGTGGGTCAAAGCTGGTCAAGTGTAGGAAACTTCCATAAGACAAAGTAGTCCCTACTTTGTCTTTTGTTTTAAATAAAACTAAAGCAGATAGGAAGAAATAAAGAACAGATCCTGAGAGAGGGAGAAAAGAGGAATCAATTAAAGAAAGGTAAGTTCAGCGTGACCGTGCCGCTTTAAGATCTGCCCTTAGTTTCCATTATCAGTGATTAACTTTATGAGCAGCATGTGTTTTCAGTCTGACTGGATCTCCTACCGTTGTTCAAGTATTCAGTTTGTCTCCCAAAGTATGACTCTCTAGTTGATAATCTTTCTGTTCTTCCCACAGCAAGTCCTCGGCCCCCTGCAGAGATCTCCCTTATGCCTTCTTTGATTAATTCTCCCCCTGCTCAGTTGACCTTTGCTCCTGCATCTGATGAAGGCGAAAATGAGGACCAGGAAATGGAAGTAACACCAAAAGTCATGATCAAACCTTTTACTGATACATGGACAGCAGTTAGTGCCTTGTTAGCAACTACACAAAACCACATGACAAAACATAGTCTGGCTCCACCAGCAGCAAAAAAGTTTATCATTGCTCAACCCGAAATGCTTACAGTAAAGCAGGAGCTGATCCCACTCAAATCTGACATGGAAACAGGACGCTGTGAGTCGCAAGGCTCTGTGATGTCTTCTAATGAGGATTCTCTTGGCCCCTCCACTGGACAAGCTGAATGGACTGTAAACAGTAATGGAGATAACAAGGCAGCATCTGTGGGGTCTGGAGACACAATCCAGTTAAAAGTAGAGGATGAGGTAGAGAGCCAGAAGTCAGATGGAAATTCACAAGAGGCGGCTGAGGCTAGCTGGAATGAGAACCAGGATGAGTGGGAGAGGCAGTCTGCATCTCCCCAGCCAAGTGAGAATGCTCAGGAAGACTCTGCTCATTCCTCCTCCTCACAGGAGGAAGAACCCAACTCTGCGGGGGAATTGGCTAGAAATGGGGAGTGTGCCAGCCCAACAGACGAACACAAGGGCCCATGGAGGACTAACATGCATCGGCTCCTAGAGCTTGAGGAACAGTGGGATAGTATGTATCACCGAGAGCTTGGCATGTGGGAGGAGGAAAGGGCTCAGCAAAGGGAGCAGCGAGCCCAAGACCGGGAGCTCCAACAACAGCTACTGAGTGTTCTCACGGATATTCGTGATGAGCTTCGATATATCAGGGAGGAGAGAGTTGCTGCTCGGCAAAACCAAGCTTCTAATGGCTCGCCTCTAGTGGTGAGCCCACCCCCACCATCCAGACCTGTAACCCCTGCTGAAAGCCTGGAGCCCAGCTCGGAGCCCCACTCTGAAACTCCAGCCCAAAAAACTCTTGTGTTAGCACCACTTGGCTCTTCCACACCTGGAACATTAAAACGTACAAGAGGTCGACCTCGTCTCTTAAAACCTACATCCCTACCTGACAATGAGAGCTGAACTTGACTCACTTTGGCCTCTGGTTCCAGCAAGAAATGTTATGGAAGCCAAGAGGCCTCTTTGCCAGCGTGGTCTGCAGTGAGTGGTAGTCCACACTGGAAGTGAAAAGGTCAGCGTGTTTCATTAGACACCCCAGGTGTTCATTCGTACCCAGAGTCCTGCGTTCATTCTTGGATTATGTGTGGAAATTCTAAAACTCTGACAGGGAAATAGCTCTGGAGGATTGCCCCTCAATTATTGTAGGAATCAGTTTTTTTTGTTTGTTTTTTTTTTTTTAATGTAAAAATAAAAACTAGCATCCGTAGTGACCTGCTAGATACTTCCACCATTATTCCTTTACTGAATATTTTTTTACCTTTGTGAAGCTATGTAATCATTCTAGCTAAATGTAGAGACACAATGTGACTGCTCAGATCTTCCTTCCCGGTGGATATCACTTGGTGTCCGTGCTTTCACCCCACACCCAGGCTGTAGCGATGTTTATGGAATTCACCTCGCAATAAATGACGTTTATTTATTGTGACTAAAAAATTATAAAGGGTTCGTAATTAAATGGCAAAGAAGCTTCTGTCAAATGGCAAAAGGAGAGAAATTATATATATGTATAAAAGTGTGTGTAAAGTTATGGGTGTAACGGATTGCTATAAAAAGCTTTGAATCTTACAAAAAGCACAGGTAGTTGGGGGGAGGTGGGGGTTAGATCAGTACGTTGGTTCGTAGCAGTTTTAAGGCAGTTTGGTTAAAACTAAAATGTAAAGTGTTTAAGGATAAAGCACTATCTGCACCCAATCTGCTAAATTCCAGGCTTCCTGGAGCAGTCAAAGCTAAGATAATCATGTTTTCATAGCTTTTCACACACGTCATATATGTATATGATATCTCTGTTTGCATGTGCATACATATAAGAATTTACTCTTGAGTGCTATTTATGTAGGATCAGCTTTTGTTACATCGCTGTATCTTTAAAAAAAAAAAAATGCAACTGTTTTTCACCCTGTGACTTGTTTTAAGTTCTTACAAAATGTAAATCTAAAACCAGTAGCTCTGCTGTGCATTGCAGAAGAATCGATCCTTAATATTCGAATATAACGTCTGCTTTTAATGAAATCGCTGTTATCACTCTAGACATACAACGCATTCCTTTTTCATTTTTCTATGGAAAATAAAATCCCGCCAGTGGAGGAAGATGTTTTAAAACTTTATCTAGAATGAATTTAATAAATTGACAATGTTTTCCTTCTTTATAAAAGAAAATAATTAGTAAATGCATTTCTAGTTTTGTACGCCATGGTTCAGATTGCGAATGAATGGAGATCTGTGATCCAAAGACTGACTGAATTGACAACTTTATGGTTAAATAGTGAGCAGTCCTTATAGTGTGAGAGGACTCCTTTTTCTGCTGAGCGCAGATGGACTGGGGGGATAATACGCAGGGTCTGACGGTCTGATTTCGGGTGTACCGTGACCAACACACCGAACTCACCCTGTTACTGGACCTTTTAAACTTTTCATGCAATAAAGGATTGATTTTTATATACATCAGTGTTGTGCTCACTTGTTTATCTAATGATGAAGAGTCAGTCGTAATCGATCAATAAATGTCATTTGTGCGGAAACATTAAGTACTTGTTTATAAAATAACTTTTTTAGTGGTTTAAGTTGTATTTTGTAACCTGTTATGTAAAGGGACAAAGTGGTATAATATGTATTTCTAAACTATATGTGATTATTTATATTTTTTTAACCACTTCACTACCCAGCTGTTTGCAAAAAAAATATCTTGAAGGTGTCCCAGGAAGTCATGTTTAAATGTATTTGTTTCAGTATGCGTAGATTGCAAATTGCTTAAAGGAACACTTCACTGCTCGAATGTGCAAGAAAATAAAATTGCTGTTTAGTAGATATACCTCCAGAGCTTGCAAAGGATTCAGATCTTATGAACTGCAGTCTTAGCACAACCCCTCCATTTTTTATTTTTTTTTTATTTTTTCCTGGAAGAGACTTGAAGTTGCTTCATGGGGAAATAGTCAACCAGAGGATTGTCATTGAGAAGCCTCTGAATTGCTGCCAACGTGCAACATGAACGTGTGGTCTGAGGTCTGTGTGAGAGGAGCCCAGGCATGTTTGGGGAACCTAACGGAAGGAGATGGTAAACATCCATAGCTGTTCCATAGTTAATTTATAGAAATCAGCACGTTTATAATCTGGGATTAAACTAGGATGCACCTCACCCATAATGCACTTCAGAACGTTGGAGTGGCCCTTACATGGTGTCAAAAACAAATATTTTGGATGGACAGAAAAACTTTAAAAAACATTTTTTATTTAATTTATAGAAAAGGAAAGCGTGCTGTAAATAAATATATATGCCTTATCTATGTAATATGTACAACGTTGCCCATACTGTATCCGCCTTACTGCAGCCATCTTCATTCTTTGGACTAACACATACATATATACACGGATACATGCACATATCTACACACTGCGATACACACATTGCAGACACGCTGTTATATAACTGCCAGAAAGATGAACACACACACACACACACTGAATCCACACACACAGACAGACATTCAATGCCCACACACACACACACACCGAAAACCATCAGCATTAAACAGAGGAGGGGCTGCAGCCCACTCCCCCCCAGACATCAGCATTAGACAGTCACCTCATTCTGCACTCTGAAACATGTTTTATGTTTATCTACTAATTCTTATGCTTGCCACACCCACTCCAGGGGGGACACTAATCTAACCAATCAGTCTTAAATCTAGGAATGCTGCAAACGTGCATTGGATGTGATGGGAAGATTTACACAGGAGGAGTGTGATCATGCAGAGCAGGCTCTGGTGTCAGGTTTCTCGATAATGCCCTGTTTCTGTAATTAGTAGACTTGTCTGAAACTGAAATGGATGGGTAATAAAAGGGGGGTGAAGAATCTCCACCAACTGAGGGGCGTGCCCAACAATGCGGTCTGGCAAAGTTTAGAAATGTTTGTTACATAGTGTTTTTTGTTGTTTTTTTTTTTCTCATGATTTAAACAAAAATTTGTCTAGTGTTGCATGTCCTTTTAAGGACCCTGGCTCTTTGAAATGCAACACATTTGTGATCAAGTTCTGTTTTGGAACTTTTGCCATGCGTTTCTTTTACCTCGATTTCCTCCCTTTTTGGGTACCTGTACATATTCTATATCATTTTTTGACAACTAGGACTTTCTGTTGAAACGCTATATGTGTACATAACACAATATTAAATATGAAGAAAGTGTGTAAAAATTATTTTTTTAAATCAGTTTTACATTTAAATGGTTACTTCAACCACCATGACACTCTTCTGTTTTTGAAGTGGTCATGGTGGTAGAAGTTGGTATGTGCAGTTTTCCAGCTTGAAACACGCCACTATCAGAGTTAAAGAACCACTGTAGTGGTCAATGAAGTGGTCTGAGTGCCAGGTCCAGCTAGGTTTAACCCTTTTTGCAGTAAACATAGTTTCAGAGAAACTGTTTATAAATGGGTTAATCGAGCCTCTAGTGGCTGTCTCATTGAGAGCCGCTAGAGGCACTTCCGAGCTTCTCACTGTGATTTTCACAGTGAGAAGACGGCAGCGTTGATATGAAAGCACTGATAATGCTTTCCTATGGACTGGCTGAATGCGCACGCATTCAACCGGTGACTGAAGAGGGAGGAGAGTGCCCAGCACCGGAAAAAAGGTAAGGGATTAACCCCTTCCTCCCCCTTCAGCACCACAGAAGTGGGACCCTGAGGGTGGGGGCACCCTCAGGGCACTATAGTGCCAGGAAAAAGAGTATAATTTCCTGGCACTATAGTGGTCCTTTAATTACGCTCTGTGCTGGCTTAACCCCTGACCCATGTGACATTGGCAGCCCAGGACTCCTGGTCAAAGTCTCTTATTCTAAAACATACTACAAGGAATGGCTTACAGGTTTAAAGCGAACATTTCGATCATTTGACATGCTGAGATTAGGTGTTTTTTTAGTAGTCATAGAATCCAAAATTATATATTTGTAGAAAGTACATCCCCCATTTTGACACTTTTTTTCATTCAACCATTTTATCACAAACCTATGTCAAAATATTAAATGTTTTCATGTGTTTTATTTTGGGATAATCATGCCGTCCTTGCAAGCACACTGTCTCGGTGTTATCTTTTATCCTGTCCATTCCACCTTAAAAACATTGCCCCCATCCACCTGTTACACAAGATGCTGCCAAGGAACTTGATCAGGCTCCTGTAACGGTCTCCTAATTGGTCTCCACAGAAACCATCCTGCCACACTATAGCTTGTACTGAATGCTGCCCCCAAGCAGATTTTTCTCTCCTGTCGCTCCTCTCACTCCTCGCCCCTCTGTCGTTCCTTACACTAGCGGCTCCATTCCCTTGGAATAGGCTGCGTACCCCCATCTGACTCTCCCTGTATTGTTTAAGAAGTTCCTCAGAAAAGCTAATAGCGTCCCGAGTTACTTCTATCTCACAAACCTGTCTCTTAAAGGGCCACACTCCACTCCCCCCCCAGTTCTGTTACTTTCCATCCTTGTGGTTTGGTTGCTGTCCCCCTTGATATCCTTTTTATTGTGTCTTTATACCTCACCTCCTCTAGACTGTAAGCTCGTTTAAGCAGATTCCTCCTCAATGTATTGTTCTAGTAACATTTTGTAATTGTCTCATTTCACCCTTAATAATACTGTAATGCGGAATAAGTTGGTGCTATATAAATGGCAATGATACTGTAACCCCCCCATATTTGTATTCTGCTACTCTTGTCACATTCAATACCACACATATATACCTGTTCCCCTAATCGGGCATTGATACCTGGTGCTCTGTCAATGAAGTTATGGGAGGCTGCTGGCACACTCAGCTGCTGTATTTTAGAGGATATAGTGGGTCGCGCTCACTTTGAGTCTGTCAGTCTGGGGACCGTAATGGTGACCCTGGCTGACAGGATCCTCTGGTATCAAATAATACCTGTG